TGTATAAAGTGTATAAAGTGTATAAAGTGTATAAAGTGTATAAAGTGTATAAAGTGTATAAAGTGTATAAAGTGTATAAAGTGTATAAAGTGTATGAAGCGTATTATACTCCGTAAGATGTGATCTTGATTGTTGTTATCAATGTTTTCTTTATTTTCGAACTTGTACTACAATAAAAAGACAATAAAATAACTGAAATAAAAAGTTTTTGACTTTTATCTTCTTTTCGTTCGAGCTTGTAGCTATGCACCTTGGTATACTTCCGTCGTTCTTATGGCCAATGAATGAGCCATCAAACAAACAGGCAAATGAGCAACTTCCTGCATAGACCATACAGCTCATGCAACGTCTTTCTGTTATGGAATCCACCGTGGCTTCTAACTTTCTGTTCCAGGCAGATCTTAACGTTACTATTACTGCACAGGGTTCTGATTTCGCCCCTTCAGAATCCATGCTTGAACAATGCCCTTACATCCAGGAAGACTTTTTCAGACATCCTCTTCCGGAAACGGACCGTCGACGCTTCCTCTTTGAATGTCCTAAGAACTCTCTTCGTAATTATGACCCTCCGAAGCTCAATAAAGCCCGTTTGTCTTCTACTGCTAAACAGTATGACAGGTAACTCTACAACATCCAGTATCGTCTATCCGGTATCACTCGCCCTTTGGACTAGTGCACTTACCAACTTTTGCACGGCAGTTGAGATCTTCCCGCTCTCCAACAACAATCTTTGGATATGGTTCTCGCGATTCACGAACTTTTATCCAACCTTGCTTCCCATATTACAACTCAGCATAGATTACATGCTTCGTGGTATCTCAAGCCAACTCGACGCTCCTTCCATCGACAATAACTACTTGCTTGATCCCAAAGAAATGGTCGATCACATCAAGCCCAAGCAAAGCGTGTAGTAAGCCACCACGCATAGATGCAACGACAATTGGCCCGACTTAAACGTAGTGGCAACAACGACACCATCAGTGCAACATATAATCAACCTGTCATATCACGTTACACAACCTATCACTCAGCTTACCAATCGTCTCAGATTCCCAATCCAGGACGGGTTTTCAGCAGCGCCAATTGCCAAAGAAGCAGAACTGAGATTAGTAGCTGGTAGCCTCCCCTCTACTCCTCATTCTGGCCTTCCTCTCACCAGTAATCACTAAGTGCATGGTTAATAAACATAATTTATCACGGTTACCACGTTCCTTCAGTATCATCTCCACCTCTCGCTCGTCCTTCTCTGCATCCACAACACTTACAACACCCTCAGTCAACATTCAGCGTCGTCGACAACGGGATCAGCTCACTCCTTCACAAACAAGCAATAGAACCAGCACCACTAATACCGTTGGGTTCCATTCTCAACTTTTTGTCATCCCAAAAAAGAATGGGGCCTACGGTCAGTACTCAACCTTCGCAACCTGAATCGGCATCTCCCTCAGCAACGCTTTAAAATTGAAATTATGACAACCATCACTCGTCTCCTTCCGCCCAACGACTATTTAACATCAATCGACTTACAAGGCACGTTTCATCACAATTTGATCAATCCTGCCTCTCGACATCTGCTTCGATTCCAATACGATAGCAAAATGACCAGTACTGTGTCTTTCCTTTCGGTCTAAGTTTCTTCCCACTGATACTCACGAAAACCTTGAAACCACTCCTACGGTGGGTTCGTCGGAAAGGGATTCGGATATCCGTCTACTTGGACGACTTGATCATCATGACCAAGTCAAAGCAACAATCTCTGGCGCATACGAAACAGATGTGTCAAAAAATGATTGAAATCGGATGGTTAATCAATTGACAGCACTAGCGACCTCCCTCGGCAATCAGCAAACACGATTTCAGACGCGGCATATGATCTTACAACTCAACCAGTTTCGACAGCAACAACAATGCCCAGTAACACCCAGTATCAAGAAAGAGCTCATCTGGTGGATTAGTCAACTGACAAAATGGAATGGTCTACATATACTTTGACACCAACAGATCACACAGGTCCTTACGGATGTTTCCAATCATGGATGGGACATCCTTTGGAATCAGCACTCTCTGCAAGAAAAATAGAATCCCCAAGAACGTAATCTACATATCAACGCCAACGAACCGCTTGTTATTCAGAAACGTCTCCAGCTCTTCTCTATTCCACCGAATAACCACATATAGTTATGTATGGACAACATTTCTGCAATGGCATACATCAACAAGTATGGTGACACTCGATCCTCAGCCTTGAACGACTTAGCAATGAGTATATGGACTTGTTACTTTTTGTCACTCCATTCATCTATCGACGCTATACACTCCATCAGCCTGGAGCTATACAACAGATCTGTATATACTCTGAAATAGCAGACAATACATTGTACCTGCCATTTAGATCCAAACCACCTGATACCTTTTGGCCAATTATGCTTTTCCTGGACAGGTCGAAATGTAGCACTATTATCTGATCACTTTTGAAACAAAGTACAGAAAGTTAATTTGCTCACGATTGTCGCCATTATATGAGCCAACATGTATAAAAAATGGAATGCAGCGTTCCACTGCCAATTCAAGGATTTACTAAAAAAAAGTGCGGGTTTTAAAAGTTAATTTCGCGGATTTTGGGTAACTAATTTCATATTGTTCTTTTTATCTATAAAAAGATATGGTACCTCGAAACTAGTATTTTTAAAAATGATGAATATGGAGATACTTATCATGAGAATGGAAATGAAGCTATGGACGTTATATACGAAAAACCGGATCTTTTTGTTATAAAGTCTTTCCAGAATGTAAATTCGCCTGTCGCCGCCAAGAATATTTTCGTAGTACCAGCCTTGATATCCATGGATATACTGTATTTCCAAATTTAGATATCGTATTGAAACCGTTGCAATGTTATCAGAGTAATAACAAATACAAAAACAATATGGCTCACTATCTCATTTGACAGTAATATTAACAGGTGGGCTGTCTTGGAGTTGAAATTAACTTAATATTAGAAATAGCCCCTCTTTAGTCTCTTTGTAAAAGTTTAAATTCTTTATTCGGTTTTTCCATGTAGTCATGTCTGGCAATGCATATTCTTGAATGGTCACGATATAGATTACTTTTATTTG